AATGATCATAAAAGTTTTCTACGCTTATTTTATTCAAAAAACAAAAACTCTGTGAGTAAGTTCGCTTGATTTCTGATCTAATTGTATTAAAATCAAATGAATTTGTCCAGTAGTTTCAAAGTTATTAACCTGAACGTCTTTTTTCCAAAGTGCAAAAGTTTTGTAACTTTTAGGTTCCGCCTAACTTTTTTTCGCAATTCTTGTCTTATTGACCTCAAAATGGTTGATCCGAGCTCAGAAGGCCAATACTCTTTTATTTTAATGCAAAAAAACTGGTATACAACGTTCCAGCTGAAAACATTTGCCAAAAACAATGCTATTTGGACCCTTGCGAATTGATGAATCCACTAAATCAAACACGTTAATTTCGATTTCACTAAAACCCGGAAAATTATTGGCAAATGGGTTTCAAAAGCTTTCGCTTCACTAATTGGTGTTGTCCAAACAAGTTTTTTATGGGCCTTACACAAAAAATTAAAAAAAAATTCTTATTTTGTAGCGTTTCGTTTTTTCAAAAATTTGGTCGGTACCCGATTAGTTCTAACCACGTCTGAACTAAAATTAAATGCTTCTACTAGTTATAATAGTACAGATGAAACCCACTAACTCAGCGCTTGTTACCCACTAACTCCGTTCCAAAAATTATCGATATCTCAAAAATCGCGATTTGTGGGGGGATCAAAATATCACTATTTTGACTTTAAAACCGGTCTTTTTACTATGTTTCCTTTTGAAAAACGGTATAGGAGTATTTATACCGGCATATATATAGTAATACTATATATCCCTCCGGGTTATAGTAGTAATAGTATATCCCTTCGGGCTTGTTTAATATCCGAACTAAGGTGCTTAACCCGGAAATTCGCAACTCGGTGAAGGGTCGTTGTTGATGTCCTCGAGCGCCTTCTTGTTGCTCGTTGCACAGCTTGCTGGATCAGTTTTCTTCCCTAATCCCGACTTCCTTCCGGACTGAGCGCAATTAGCATTAACGTGCCTAAAAACTCAAATAACCCTACAATACAAGCACCAGAAACGGGCTGAAGTTTCGATCGGAACGATCCTGTTTGATATAAATGCCTGTAGCAACAATGCATCTAACAACAACAAACGGGAGAGTCGGATCACATCTTGTCTGGGTGAATGATTTCTACTGATTTTTTATTTTCTACGGTTTTTGGTTTTTTCGGTTATTTTATATGTTTTTTGGTTTTTCTTTGGTACTATACTTTTTTTGTTTGGTTTCTGAAATATCTTTGAGTGTTTTTGGTCATATATCACTCAGGGAACGACGAGACGGCCAATCTCCCCACCCTTCCTTGTACGTGACTCTTCGGTCTTAACTAGGTTGAAAAGCTAGATTGGGGAATCCGGAAGGCTTCCGCGTTCCGAACTACCTTTCCACCCCGGTGATAAGGGCCTTATTATGAGCATCCGCTCGGCGCGGAATGCTCGTTAACGGTTCTACTGGTCATGATGTTTAAAAGAATAACTTCCAGGAGAGCCATAAAAACATATATGTAACATTCGCCCGAAAGTACAAATCGACGAAAATTAGAGCTAAGCTATAAAACAACTGGCTAGCGTCTAAACACAGCTCTACATGCTTTTCACCGTCTCTGCCAAAGCCAATTCTTTTGGTGGTTTTCCTAACATCGCGTCGACAAAAACCTTACTGTTTCCGGCTTCGATCAGAACGCTCTAATTACCTTAATCCATGCAAAATAGTGAGCGCATGGCTGGGTCTCAGTATCCCCAGACCACGAGGTCACTCCTAAAAACAGGTCTACGACTACTTATTATATTACGATTGTTTTTGTTCAGCAGCTAAAAATCATCATCTCCATCGAAGGTGGATCAACCTTTTCCCTTAACTCCTAGCTTCTCATTATCTGAAAATGAATCTTGATGTTATTTAAATTCAACTCAGGACATGACCAGAAGCTAAAAGTCTATAAAATGCAATTCGAGTTCTAACCCCGAGACCCCTCCGGGTTCTGGAATCCGGGGGAATAAATCCTTTTTTTTCAGGAAGGCTGGACACGCCGTCCCATACTCTTCCTCATTCTCCAGATTCGCGTTGTAACGATTGTAGTGGCACAATCGTTACAACTCGGAATGGCTTCTGACAATCTTATTCTTTCTTCAATCTCGATCAGTTTCACACGATTTCCGTTGTCTTTGTTGTTGTCACGGCGACTACTGTTGTTCTCGTTGAGAATATTGTTGTTGTTTTCGCAGTTTTAGTGTGCGTGAAAGAAAAAAAGTTTACGTGTCTTTCACGTCCAAATCGAAAATTTAAATATCTGCACGTCAGTCAAAACTAACGCTTCCCGATTCATCCAATTGTTCCACTAGCGTCACTAATCCATAAAAATCATCAATTTTCTCGATCAGATGTTCCGATAAAAATTCGAAGACGAATTTGAATTTTGTCCATTATGGTCGAATGTCACAGTTTGTGGGAAAATGTTTGAGCTGAGCCTCGCGTTTCCCGAGATTTTAGGTGTAATGGATACCTTCATAAGAGCCTACGTCCAAACATAAATAGACCTCGGAATGATAGAAAAATTTGGTTTTTTGACCGTGTGTTCTATCTTTATTTTTCTCACAAACTACTTCAATGTTGGGTTAAAGCGACAGAACGGTTATGGAAAGCTCCCTGCATTAGCGGCTACTCCAAATTTTTTTATGAATAAAAGTTATCGCCCTCAGAAATTTCAATTGATTTTTTTGGCTGCTTTCAGAAACATTTGGAATTTTTTCAAAAACTACCCCACCAAATCTTAGATTCTGGGTTCAATTCAAAGTTTAGGTTGACCATTTTTTGATAGTTTTTTTGGACTTTCCTCGAGAACTACGCTCTCCGATTTTTGGTTCACTCGAAATAAAGGGTTGCGGGAAGCTCCCCCGCATAATCGACTACACCCCCAATCGTTTTATGGCCCTCGGAAAAGTAAACTTTTCGATCGTTTTTTTTTAACAATTATCTTGCTCGACAACTAAGGGTTTTAGAGTTCAATCAAAATAATAGGTTGGTTAAATCTTTTCTGCAGGAGGGAAAAGTCAAGTTTTCGATGTGTTGACCGTTTTCTGGTAATTTGTTGGCTTTTCTCGATAACTATCCTACTAAATGTTATATTCATAGTTTAATCGAAAGAACAGGTTGGTTGGAAGCCTTCGTGCAAAACAGCTACACCCAATTTCTTTAAGATAAAAGTTTTGGCCTTCAATTGAGTCCAGTTTTTGAAGTTGTAACTTTTTTGGAATTTTTTGACTTTTCTCGAACCCCGCCAATTCTGCGGCTAACTGTTCAATCGAGAATCTTCGCTGCTTAAATCGACCACGGCTAACTTAATGCCGAAAAAATTAGGGTGTTCGGAAAGTCAATTCTGTGATCTTCTGACCGTTTTTCTAAAAGTTTTTCTACGATAAATCGAAGATGAAGGATTCAATCGAAACAACCTGCTGCGGGATATTTTCTACAGAAGCGACGACGTCTGTTTTTTTTTGCAAGAAAAGTGTCATGTCCTCGAAATTTTTCAGTCTTCTCTTTTATTTCAGTAGAGAAACTACAAAGCATAACCATTTCCCATTTCACCCCGCATTACCAATTCTTACAAGTATCAAACGGGTACCTCCAGCAGCTTCAATTGGGCAGCTAGTTTTTTGCGGTACTACTACGATAGAGTGGTCCCTTGAAAATAACAAGGTCCCTTGAGAATACTACACCTAGAGCTCTCAAACCGTTTAATAATTATGGTTACGCCTTTCAGAAAGATGTCGCAGTATATTTTCAAACAAATTTCATGTTTTGTTACCTCTTAAAACCTCGCCCTCACCATTTTAATGTTGAAAATTAAAAAAAAAACGCCGATAGTCGGTTTTGATGACAAATAAGTCAACCCAATTATATGGTTGTTAAACCGTAAAATAAAATAAAGCGAGCAAATTTCAATATATAAACAATAGTGATTACAATTTTCAGTCTGAAAAGTTTTTGGCTGAACATATTTTGCAAGATTTTTGAAATGAATAATTTATACATAAATTAGTTTTCAAAATTATAACATGCGAAATGCATGCGGGACCTGTCTATCATAGTTGCTTTTTCGAGGGACCACTCTATCATAGTAGTACCCGCTTCGCTTCTGTTTCAATTTTGATTTTCAGTCTATAACATGATACGGATAGAGCTTTTTCATATGCCCAAAAGTTCCGTTAGACTTGCAAGTTTGATCGCAAATTTTAAGTTAAGTTTTTGAGTGCATTTAAGAATTTTGGATCTCGACCTCTTTACTGACATTTTTTTCTTAGATCTTTTGGTAATGAGAAAGAAATGAATGGAGTTTGTGTAGCCCGAATCTTTCTTATGTTTTAGGTGATTGATTTTTATAATTTTTGTCTTCAGATTTTTCTTGATTTTTAGTCTGCGATTTCTTTTTCAGTCACATTATCTTTCGAGTCACATTATCAGTCACATTGTGAACTTGGCATTTTTTGTATAGCAAGTGGCGTGAAGCTCAGCTTCGCCTCTGCCTTAAAATTAATCTTGATCGTATTGCTCTATGAAAACTTCTGAATTGAATCCTTGTCATTTGAAGGCTGGAGAAGCAGAATGCGGACATTAATTAAGAATAACTTAGCTATCTTCCTCAATCTGTCAAAATTTACGACACCCTTCTGAAGGTTTGAGAGGAACTACGTTCTTGAAAGGGAGGCAGGTCATCTAATCTGATAACGGATTAGATTATGAAATTGCAATGCACTCAGGTATTTTAGTTGCCTGTGTCGTGTAGCGTTCTCTTATTCAGTTGGGTGCCTTTTTTCAATTCAGTTGGGCTGAAAATTCTGCTATTGTGAACATAATTCAACAATATTACATGCTCTGTCACGCAGTAATTGCTCTTGTTTTTGAGCTGAAATTTGCTCGATTTGGGAAGTAGGGAGCGAATGAAAATAGGCCGCTGTGGTTTGGTGCAAATACTAGTTGTAGTATTTGCTTTACAGGCGCATTCATTACCATTTCGGTTGGCAACCATTAATCAGAACCAAGTATATTCATAAATGGTGGAAATAAAAGAACGCAATTCCACTGCTACTCTTCTAGTTTGCTTTCTTTTCCACATTCATTTTTGTTATTCCAAATAACAAAAAATTAAAATCTTTCCGCTGCACTTTGTCGCTGAAATGAAAATTTTATATATTTTTTCAGCTCTCCATTGAATATTTTCAACGCATCTTGTTTTTATTAAGCTCTACGAAGCCATCCAGAAATAACACCGAAGCTGGCAGAGTATTGGCTGGATTTAGTTTACAGTAATTCATAATTCACCACTGGCAGCATGAATATTTCATTACTTCTTTTTTTTATCCAGATATTTTTTCAGTTCTGCCCAAAAAACAAACAAAATCTAATTGTGTGTCGGATTCTTTGTGACAGTCTGAGATTTCATCTCTAGTTTTCTTTTCTAGTTTTAACAGAAGAACCGATATGAACTGACTTATTTATAATGTTTCAATTCTTTCCCAGCAGCTTCTCCGATTTATTTACTTTTTTATTATATCCCATGAATCTATGTTTGCATGATTCTAACTTGAACTCTGGGTGATTGTAAATTATTAATGATGGGTGCAAAAAGATGCTGTTATGTCCACAAATGCTGTGGTTTTGTCGATTTAGAAAAAGCTTCGATTTTGATCGGAACCTTCACTTTGGTAAGTTTTTTTGTACTTTAAACCAGCTGGAGACTTCTAGTGATCGCGCTTAAGTCTATGAGATATCGTCCCGTTATATCCTTTTTTGGACATCAGAGAGCCAATTTTGAACTAATTTGAGCTGCAGCTATCCGCTGTTTTTTCAGTCGATTTTTGTTGTAGTAATGAAGGTACCATTCTTTGATGTGCTGAATTGAAGGTTTTATTTTCAAAACAACTCTGTGAATGAATTTGCCTTTCTGTAAATTGCTCACATGATTACATGACATTGAAAGAACAAATTAATAAAAAAATTGAGGTAAATTTTATGAAAATTCAAATAAAGCTAGGACTCGAGGTTCTGCCTGTTTTCACGAACCAAGTACTTTCCTTATTAGAATCCGATTCATTTTTGATTGCGGATTTTTCTGTGGCGGGACTTGGATGGTATACAGAGTAAGCCATATATTTGCCTAATGTTCTAAAATGTTGCTTAATTAACTAGCAAGCGAATTTCTGTGCTAGACACGGGCGGAATGAAACCGTGATTTTAGAAAACGCGGAACCAGGTTGGATTTATTTCTGTTAGTTTTTTAATTGCACTTATTGGTGTTTTGGGAAAGGTGAACATCCTTCATCTGAAGGTTTTTAGGAGGAAGGATGTTATCTATTCTTAAGTTGAAATCTCAAGCCAATCAGAATACACTATTGTACTTGCACTCCTAATTTTAAACCTAAACGTTCCGAATTGAAACCCTCTGCTACATTAAATATTTCAAAAACGACAAGCTTTTTGTTCCGACGGCTCCAGAAGGTTGGAAAGAAACTATGGCCTGGGGGCGGAGTTTCCCTTGCGATTTCAGGTACCTCAGGGCCATCTTCGAGGCTATCGAGTAAAGCCCATGTAGCCATGACTTGGATTTTTTTCACAAGAGCATTCTATGAGTAATGAGCACACCGATTAAATATCTCACAGTTTATTCCGACCACTGTAATTATCGTGAATAAGTGTATCGGATTTCTAATTTTTCTGTAATAGTAACGCAGAAAATAACACGATTTTGAAACATGCTATTTAACCGTGCTTTTGTTGTGAGAAATTTTTGTTCAGAGAAAAATACTATGACGTTTATCTCTGATTTCTGTTCTTTCCGATTCGCAAAAGAGTCTTGGGTTTTAACTGAATGTTCATCAGCGTCTTGTAAATCATGACATGTAAATAAGACATGTAATTATGTAATTTAATTCTATATGTAGAGTTTTCTGTGAAAAGATAATTTGTCATCAAAAATATCTCAGTAGCGTAGTGTTTCGATTGTTACTTCGTGCTCATAAAGGAGTGATCTATTTGGATTTGCAAAACTAATAATTAATCAGCGATAAGTCCGTTGCTGCGCAAGTTACACCGAGTTTTCCGACCGCAGTTATTAAAGCAAAAAGATGAGTGAATTGTCGTCTTTTGCTTGCCGAAATCCACTCACAATTCGCTCGAAATTTTCATTTTTTTCATATAAACACCAAAATCGCGCTGTAAATAACTTTTCGCAGAATCTCAAACGGGTTGGCTTTAAAATCTTTTTTTTTTCAGAAATGATATTTTTGCATAATCTGATGGCCTTGTTTTTAGTTAGTGTACATCTTGAAAGGTTCGAATTAGGTTTAACTTTCTTAAAATATGATCCCCTTTTTGGTTTTCACAAATCTATCTATTATATATTTAAATGCGGGCTTCACTATCTCGCCATGTTTAAGCTTTTTCAACGTATTATTTTTGCATGTTTAAGCTATATCGTATATTGCAATGGTTAAGAATTTTTTTCGATTTTCTTATTTGATGTTAGTGGTTGTTTTACCGAGTTTAAATTAAGCAGCCCAATATCGAATTAGGGGTTGCGAATTTGGCCTCCAATTTTGAATGCCCGAATCATTTTAGTTTACGAGATAAGACGATTTTTGAGATTTTTTCAAAAGTTTTCAGAAATTTCAAATAAAATAATTTACAAAACTTGAAGTTCCCAACCCTGTAGTTGGGTGCTGTCAGAGTACTCTGAGGAGTTACAAATCTTGCCTCCAAATATGACTGTTCAAATCCTTGTAGTTTTCGAGATATGACGTTTTTTGTGATTTTTCAAAAATTTTTCAGAAAACATATTAATTTTTTTTTCGTAAAACATGAAATTCCGAACCCTGTAGTTGGGTCCTGTCAGAGTAATCTCGAAGATTGCGAATCTTGCCTCCAAATATGACTGCTCATTTCTTTTTAGTCTTCGAGATATGACGTTTTTTGTGATTTTTCGAAAAGTTTCAGAAAACTTCAGAAAGTTTGAAATAATTTTTTTTCAAAATTTGAAATTTCCAACTCCGTAGTTCGGTGTTGTCAGGGTACTATAAAGAGTTGCAAATCTTACCACATGCGACTGCTAAACTTGACTGCTCAAATGCTTTTATTTTCCGAGATGTGACGTTTTTTGTTTTTTCAAAATTTCTCGAAGAACTTATCTACAAGGAAATTCAAAAAATTTGTGAAACTATTAACTTGATGAAGATACAACTTTATTGTCAGCGTACACCCAGGCGTCTCAATTCTTGCCTCCTAATATGAATGCTCAAATCTTTCTATTTTCCGAGATAAGACGTTTTTTTTTTTAATTTTTTTTTCGGGAAACTTAGGTTTAAAAAAGTTCACATAATTTTGGATTCCTAACCCTATAGTAGGGTGCTCTCAGGGACTCTCAGTGGTTGCAAATCTGGCCTCCAAATTTCTCTAGAGGCCCATTAAGTTTTCGAGAAAACGCTTTTAAAATGGGAATTGAAAAAATTTAAAAGATCGAAATTGCCAACCCTGTCAATGGGTGCAGTCAGAGTACACTAAAAGTTTGCAGATATTGGTTCAAATATATGCGGTTTTTCATGAGCTGTCGAAAAATTTCGAAGCACCGAAGGTGCGTTAAACGCTAGTTGATCTTTAGTCTTATAAATGATAGAAAAAATTTTTTTTCTCGAACTGCATAATTAATAGAGAATTTGGTTTATCCTTGTGATCTGCAGGGGTGTTCCTACAGGGTACTAGATTTTTTCCCCGTTAAAAGTTCTGTTCTGTTAGTAGGAATGGTAAATTTGTTGCTGATATGCTCAGTTTCTTGAAAATCTAAAAGCTATCATAGATTTAATAAGGTTGATTTCATTTCTGAGTACGATTATTATGATTTTTTTTCAAATAAATTGCTTGAAAATTATGATTTTTTTGAAATCTTGGTTTTCGTCCTTGTTTTTGTCGATTCGTTCCGTTTTTTGCCATTTATAATATCTGTTCCGGTTTTTTCGACTTTATGGAATTTTTTTGACTTTTCTCGAAAACTGTTCTCCCAAATTTAAGATTTTGGGTTTAATCGAAAATACATATTTTCCTAAGCTCCTGTATACTAAGAGTTACGGATCTCGGAAAAATAAATTCATAAATGTTTTCTGTTTTTGAAACTTTTTGACTTGTCTCCTAAACTATCCTCCCAAATCTGAAATTTTTTGTTTCAATCGAAAAGCATGGTTACACCCTATTTCTATAAAAAACAGTTAAGGCCCTCTGAAAAGTCAGTTTTTGAACGTATCACCGTTTATAAGAAGTTTTTGACTTGTCTCAAAATGTATCGTGTCAATTCTCAGGTTAATTATTTAATGGAATTAACAGTTTGTGGGCGTTTTCGCTTGCTGCTTTAACCGTTTAGCCTTTTTTACAGTAAAAAAAGAGTCAGCTTTCGGATAAGTCAAATCTTCGTTTATTTTTCGACCGATTGGAAACTTTTCTTCAAGAAACGTTTTCCAAAAATCCGTGAAAACTATAAACAATAATTTGACTTTTCCGAAGGCTGGAACTACCCTGCGAAATTGAGGTGAAGGGTTGAATCTAAGGAACATATTGCGAGATTTTTTCCGCAAAGTTGGCGAAATTTTACAAAGTCCTGGAAAATCCAATTTCTCAAAAGCTCGTTTTGTGCAATTTTTGAAACTTCTTGAAAGCTACCCTTGCAAATCCGAGATTCAGAGTTGAATCAAAAAAGCAATGATTGGGGACCGTCCCTAAAAAAGTGGCGGCGCGGCTACGGGTTCAATAGAATCGATAGAAGATGCATGTTTTGGACATCAGAAGTTATGAACTAGGAAAATCAAAATTTTTGATAGTTTTTGACTGCGTTCGTTTTAAAAACTGCACTTTCAGTTATGAGCTTCATAGTTCAGTTGCAAAAAAATTGTGAAATTATCTTCCTTGCTTGAACGTTTACATCCTGTTTTTGTAGTAAAGCTTTGCAAAAAGTCCATTTTTTGAGGTTTTTAACGTTTAAAGAAATTTCGATTTTTTTTTCAAAGCTACTCTGCCAAATTTGATATTGATTTCAATTGAAAGAATGGGTATCAGGTGTCTCTTCTATATAAACGGCTAATCCCTTATTTTAGTAAATAAACCATTAAGGTTTTGCGTAAAGTTAATTTTTTTTAATATACGAATTTAACATCAGTAGGTTTTCAAAAATATTAAACAAGTATACCCAGCTTAAGCTTGGCTCATAGTAATTTTTTCTAGTAGTTTTTCAGTCTTTTTGCCATTTATTTTCTTGTACGGAATGTTTTTTGTTTTGCAACTGTTCCGTAGCTCTGATTCGCCTGTATTGAATATTGATATGTGAATGGGGACACCTTTTCTAGGTATGAAACGCGGATAGTTACAGATTCATAAGTTATTTGAATAAAATTCGTCTCCTTGCTGATTTCAAAACAGAAATCCAAAATTAATTCCAATGGATCATAAAGCCCCGGAATCACATCTGCTTCAGATAAAAAATATATGTTTTTACAATACTGCACATTCAATTGTAATGTCAATTTGATGCCAATCTCATCAAAATGTTTGTCAATCCAATAAACAGTTTGAGATTGATTAGTCGTGACTTCAGCATTTGATTGAATACGAAAGCCAATATTTAATTGAACTTATTTGATTCTGCTTCTAAATTTTTCTTTTGATACTTCTTTGATAAGAATTCAAAAATAAGGAGCCTTTTGTCCTGACTGAAAGTGGTTTACTGACTGACAACTCATTTCATTACATCAATCGGAGATCAAAAATGTTTTTTGAAACGAATAGTTGTCGATGCTTGTTCAGTGTGTCACTTGTGGAGAGAGAACAAAAGCAAAGTTCCTTTCAATTTAATCAGCAGTATATCACATTTTGCTATTTTTTCTTAATGATCAATATTCTGAACATCAAGAATGTTTTTTTTTATGCACTTAAAGTTAAATTTCAAAAAAGATTCTGCAAATGCCCAAAAGCTCATTTGTTCTATAATTTGTTCATCAAAAGATAACTAATTGGTGTTTTTTTAAAAATAAATTGCGATAGAAGAAATCCTTTCAGGATGTTCCCAAGTACGCGACATTGCGTCGTCAAATACGAAAAACATTTTGCTTTTGAGTAATTAAAATTTTTGCTATCAAGGAAACAGTTGCTTATCTTACAAACTGTTGGCGCCTTGCTGTTGCATAGCGCCAAGTTGTTTTTCTCAAAAAGCTGCTTATTTGGTGCCCCGCAAAATTTGTTTCAGCTCGGCGAATTGCATTACCAGTTGTCAAAAATGGGTTAAAATGAATATAAGCAACATGGAAACGTCTGGGCTTCTGCTAATTCGATTAATGGCAAAAAATGGCTACGGGTCAACAATTTCGCATCAATGATTTCAGATGAAGTGTTTCGATCTCCTTGGTTCTGATAACAAGCACCTCTCTAGAAATGGACAAATGTTATCATAAATGGTCCATTAGTTTGCGATGATTAAAATTATTTTTCTTGAATGCATTTTTTTTTTCACAGTAGTGAAAAAATATACATACTCTTTTATGATAAAAGCTCTGCAGTTTTACGTTCAGTATTATGTTCAGCATCAAAATAATTACATAATGGATTCCTCGATTTGTGACCACTTTTGTTTGTCGTTGTTTATTGTCTATGTGCGATTTATAAGCTTCAAGCTTGTTTTGATTAAGAGAAGCTCAGCTCTGTTTTCCAGTGTATATAATATCGGATCTTAAAGGTGTTGGGATCGATCTCTAGCAGTGGCACTATTTATGTTTTTGGAGCTCCAGCATTTCTAAGCATCGTCTAAACTAGTGCGATTTTTTTTCACTCTTGTATGCTAAGTGCAGCATTGACTCTTCTATCGTCGATTTTTGAAAAACTGTATCAGTTGTATTTCAATTTCAACTTCATAAACTATGCTTGCTGTTTTGCTTCATGAAATGAATGGGGTTTTACTGTCTTTCAGGTGACTGCGTGTATTGGGGTGGCGACTCTGTCGCGTAACCTGGCAGTGGAGCAGGACCAGATGGCCACCCAGATCCTGTCCAAGGCAGCCTCCATCGACACACACAGACTGCAGGCCGCTATTGGTCAGTTGAGTAACTAAAAAAATCCCTGCTTGATAGGGGGTTGGGGTGGGTGGGCATGGCGACAATTCATGCTGTTAATTGTCGCTTGCTACGAATTGTCGCCTTTTAAAATAACTGCTAATCTTCGCTTGCGACCAATTTTCGCCTTACGGGGTGGGCGTTGCCGTTTTTTTTAACCAGAGATGCGTTTTACTGTAAGGCATAATTAGAAGTCTTTCTCGTGCAAACAACGTAATTGTGTTTAATGGGACGCTTAGTCGGGAGTGGAGGCTGGAATTAAACATTTCGAATCGCTGAATGGCATTTGTTTCTAAAAGCACTTTCTGTTAAACATTTTTTTTCTAGTAAAAGACGTAATAACATTTAATAGTAATTGATAATGACGTTTATGGGATGGTATGTGTTCGTGCAGTCCAATCGACACAAGAACGTTGCTAGGTACCAAATGGAAATGGATAAATTTATTCATGCGGTTTCCTGATAAACGTAGATATAGGTTGCTATTTCCGTATTAAGTTAATTTAACAACTACCACGAGCCTCGCTCCTCAATGGTTATATAATGTGAAATTGGAAACATGAAATTATATAATGTGTACAGTTTGATTTCCATTATAGTGAATAAAATATGGGGGATTTTGTCCTAGGGGGATTTGGTCCTATGGGGGATTTAGTCCTGGGGGATTATATCCGGTGGGATTTTATCCTGGGGGATTTAGTCCGCGAGCGGTTAAAGAGAAATGATTAGTTCTTTTTGCTAATTTTCCTTATGAGATCTTAGGTCGGTAAAATGCTCTAGACAATCTAAATTTAAAATTCTCTATATTATAAAATAAAATGGCTCCGGGCAGTGATCTTTTTACTCCTAAAAATGCCCGACATAGAGAATTTACCTTGAAAAGTTTGAGTTTCCACATACGTTTGTGCCCAAAACAATTGCCCTGTCTTGATTTATCCACTATTTTTCAAATTTGAGTGATTTGAGCAAAAACGCGGATAGTTTGAGGTGGCCAATATTGCGACACAAATGTCTGGAGATGTTTAATGTGGGTATTTTTTATTAGTTTTAGGGACAATTTAGCCCGGTAAACAAATATGCGAATTCAGTTGTGTGCATGTGAGTGTTGTTGTGTTTAGCCTATGTGCGATGGGGCAGTATTGGGCTGCTGTTGGTGGGGATAGCATGTCTCTTCTCATCTGTCGGACTCATCTGGGCCATCAAAAGGGTCAGTATATTTAAATTCCCAGTCTGGTTTAATGGGGGAGCAATGGTGAAGTGGTTAATTCTCCGCCTCTCAATCGAACGGCCTACATGTTCGAGGCAGACCATGATCAAAAGTTCGCCTGTTTTGCAGAAGACATATAGTAAGTTCTAAATAGTCCATTTAGTGATCAAATCTCGCACTATGATAACTCTTAACAATCCTTCGCCTATCTCTACGCTTGAGAGCCCTATGAAGATTATATTGTTGGCTTTGCTCTTTGGACCGATTGAAGACTATTGATTAATAGGGGTTATCGACAGCCTGTCGTAAATTTGAAGTTAATCTTGAACATCTTGTCGAAGCGAAGTTAATCAAAATAATCAATCGATGCCAAGTTGTCTAACCAAGCCTAGTATCGCTGTTTCATGTTCAGTTTAACAGACGATTATCATGAACAGGCGATTTTATAAAAATATATAAGAAAAAGGAGAACGTGCCCGAAGCATTTTTTTTACATCAACGAAGCTCAGAATAAAACTGCTGGAAAGTGGACGAAAATTGTCAAAGAGTGCTTGAAGTAAATTATGACGATTATGATAGCTATACTTTTGTTTCAGAAAGTGGTGCTGTATGTTGTGCCGTGGATAGTGAGTCACGTGGTCTACACCATGTACAACATCCTGATCACTCTCATTGCGGCAGTCAAACTGTTTTCTTGGAATGTGAGTTATGATTACATACATGAAACAAAAGAAACGTGAAAAGCAGGCTTAGCGCAACTGTGAATCTATCAAATGCAGAGGTTTAAAAGATGACTCAACTGGTGAAGTTCAGTATTATAGCCCCGTTAAAGCTAAATTATGTTCCATAAGCTTCATGACCGAAAACAAGAACAGCCAGTTGTTGTGCAATTAGCACATAATGTTTCGAATTGGCTGTTGTTCAAATAGGAGAGAATTTTCCGACCGCTCTTTTTTGCAATGAAATTTCAGAACTAGAAAATCGAATTGAAAATTTAGTCGCATTTTCAAGTTTTTGATTGATTTCTAGCCAGTGAGGTTATGTATTAAAAAAAAAACACATGCTAATCCACATTAGCCCCTGACTTTGTGAATTGATTGGTTTTTTCTTATTAAGAAGCCAAAATGCTCTGGATCATATGCTCTGAAGTCAATATGCTCTGAAGCCAATGTGCTCTATAATAAAAAGAATTTTGTGAATTTTGAGTTCAGGACTGCCAATTTTTTACGATCTTTCATCTGATTATGGCCTATGATATACAATTCAAGTCAGCATTTGCTGACCTCAGAAAGGGGATATACTGTAATTCCAAGTATATGCTACAAGTGCTTTGCTTAGGTTTTTTAAGAAGCTTTCGTAGAAGTTTTTGAACGCTTTCCGTTCGTTAACGTATATTTTCAATATTAATTACACTTGCGAGAACAAGTGTTTTTGTAATCGGGAACTAGACTTTGTTTTCGTAAACAATTTTTCTTACTAATCTGCAAGAAATTGAACTTGCTTCATTATTGAACCTGCTTCATTGTTGAACCTTAACAACTTCCAAGTTCCTTCGTACTTGGCATGGAGGTATCACATCTGCTTTTTCACTCTAAGGTCTGAGGCTCGAGTCCCGGCAGGACCTGTTTTTTTTACACTAGCGCAATTTAATGAGCGTTAGTGTGTAAAAGTACGACTATTCTTTTTTCTATTCTATGTCGCAAGTACTGGTGCCACTTTTGATGGCATCTTTAAGGTTTTTTGATAGCATGTGCTTTGACAATCGAGTTGTAATGAGTTAACACAGTCGACAGTCGAAGCTTTTTTAATGCATCAACTGAACCGAAAAAAGCTATTAGTTTCAAACATAACAATCATAAAAATTCTATTTTAGAAATTTTTCAATTCAGTTTATCTCGCAATTTTTTCAATTGTGTAATTGATACATAATGTGGCTTTATGCGTTCCAAATAATTACATGTAGAGTTTGTGTGGATGCCTTCAGTTTATTATGTTCCAAATTATTGCTTGCAAAATTGAGTTTGCCGATTGTTGAGCGTTCATGGCCGAGAGGACAGGGCGTGAGACTTCAAATCTCGAGGTCGCAGTTTCGAAGTTAATACATAGCAAAGTCTTACTAAGTCGAAGCTAATTTCTTTTTTTTTCACTAATTCACTTTATACAGCTGCTTTTATGTCGTGTTCTGGCTAGTGTTTGCGAAGCGCACATTAGCCTCTGTTAAGAGTTTGATTTTTTTAAATTCAGTTCATTTCCTTTGTTAAAGGAAGGCAAACTCTACTATTGAACAGCAAAAGTTGAAAAGACACCAAAACAATGCTCGATTTCTAGTTTCAAAAGTTGAATTTAATTTTCAAATTTCCAGCGAAATGAAAATTTTAGTTATTGATTCAGTGTTCTCAATTTGGGTTATTTTTATCAGAAAAGTGCCAATCATAAGTTGTTATAAAAATTCAAAGAGCTTTAATGGCATCTTTTTTCTTTGATATTCGAAAGTTGATTTTTTTCAAAAAACAAGCCAGAATTTTTTCTGTTGTCTTGCGTTCATTGACTTTTTTGCAACTTTGTTAACTATGATTTTTCAATATCTGTGAAATTGAAATTTTTTCCTGGTAAAAATTGAGTTGTCAGATTTTTTGGGCTTAGTTGCCTTGGATTTTTCTAGTGCTGTAAGCAAATATCGTGGGCAATGAAAATGTATTTCATTGTAGTTTCAGGGACCTGGTTTTTTAGTATTTGTCAAATTTTGTTCACAGCATATTCTTTTTTGGTGCTGTGAACGAATTTATTGCTATCTCTAACCTTAAGTAAACACTAAGGAACAATAGCCTATTTTTCTAAAAGTTACACTACTACACCATGCTATAAACGACAAGGGTGCCACTACCGTTGAGTGCGAGTTCCGCTGAGACCTGTTTTTTTTTTGACAAAAACTATTATTTGCGTTTTTAGATTATAGTCGTCTGTTCATGTTTTCTGCCTAGTTTTCGCCGCACTTTTTTGAAAATTCAGCCGTTTTTAGAATATTTCAATTACCATTCTTAGATTTGTATAGATAATTATTTTTCAAGACTTGTTGCTTTTTTTTTGATATTTCAATCATCTGCCTTCTTGTATCACAAGTGGAGCGAATGTGAAATGTGTCATTTTTTGTGTCATGTATAAAAAAGCTGATCTTACGGTATATATTCATCGAAAATTAATAGGAGCGAATCAAGGTTTACTTAGACGAGAGCTTTTTATGAATGGTTATATGATAAATCAATTTTTAGTTTCGTGAATTAAAATATGTTGAAGCCTGTGAACAGTAATTCTATTTTCTAGTGAAATCTATTTCGTTTCTTTTGGCAGATGGAATAATTGATGGTTTCCTTTATTCATTTCCTGAAATACGCACACCAAAGTTCGTTGTGATGTTTTTGTGGCGTTATTTTTTGTGACGTTCTCTGAATAATTGATAAAGAGCGAGAAAAAGTAATATACTGAAAGACAGGTTCTTTTTTCTTTTGATCTCATCAATCACGTCTTGATGAATTTTTTATAGTGTATCTTCTTAAAAAAGATACAAATCGAAGTGTTTTTTTTTGCCATACATCTGTTCCTTTTTTTCGTCTTAAAAGGAAACCTTTTTTTTTCTCGTCAAATGAACTGGGCAGATCGACTTCATATAATATCTTCCATGTGATTAGAAATACGAGGGTGTGATTAAAAGAAGAACAATCAGTTTGACGCATTTCTAGAACTATATCAATAGCTTTCCTTTTTTTTGTGAAGTTTTGTATTGAAGCTCGTTTTGATTTTTATTGGGGTTCGTTTTGAGCTAACTGGCCATTTTGGCGTTCTTCCGAAATGGGATTTTTTTTTAAAATAAATTTTGTAAATAATGAACAAAATTTTCCCCTGTTGAAAGCAAGTTTATTATTATTATTTTAGGTACCATATCACCAACTGTATATTGGATGTATGCTGTTCTGGGACTTGGGAATGGTTGTTTTGGTAAGTAAATCATAAATCACTACTATTTTGTTAGAATATGACAGAACTGTCTTCTTAACTTATGAGGAACAGAGTTGAATTTCTTCTGAAATCTGAATCTACTGAGGTAATTGCATGTTCGACAAACTGATTTGCTTGATTGATTATGTTTTGTCTAGTGTTAACTTCCGATTTCCAAATTTATCTTGACGTTGGAATCACAATTATGATAAATTGAACCTTTTTGTTTCAGTTGTATTTTGTGGCAGTGGTTAAAAGCTATTACTACCAAGTGAAACGCCAACAAAAACGAAGGGAGTCTTCAATCACTGCAACGAACAGCGGAATTCCGAGATCTCAATTCCAGCAACACCAGCAAAACTACACTTCGCCTAGTAGACGTCTAAGCTCTAATTGCGCCCCTGGAAGACAAAATAGCGCCAGTAATAATTTAACAGCTGGATCGGAGTATCAGCTGCCACCGGACCAGTTCAGCACTGACAATTCTGTGGCTTTGAGTGGACTGGGGTCCAGAGGTAACGATGATGGCGCGGAAGTTTTGGGCACACCTAGCGTCGAAGGAGGAGGTGCTAATGTACCTACTGAAGCAGTGCAGGGTGCGGTTACTGGCAACAGAGGTTAGATGCTGTTTGGTGGTAATGTTAAAACCGCAGTTTCATGTTAAGTTAAGTTTGAATGGCGGCAATGAATCATTAGTGTGGATCTTCAGAAAAGAAGCGCCATAGATAAATTTTCAATGAAAGAAATTTATTGGAGGGAGTGTAGCATTTGAGCAATTACAAAATTTGTTCCTTAACTGCATTTTTAGTTGTTTTTAGAGGGATATTTTGATTCTGCATACTTCTCCAGTCCTGGTTTAAAATTTGAAACAGTTGAATTTCTTGTTTTGAGACCTGGTACGAATTAGAACCTGATTGTTTATCTTGCTTGGGATTTCTTGGATCCAATTTCACAAGTTTATGGGGTCACATAATCAATACAATATGTGTCAATGAATGATATGTTCCGTATTAATTCGTGCCTTGTTGATACACCGCTAGCCCGCCTGAAAATGTTCAAATGTACGGAAACTTTCTGGAAAATAGGCGAAAATGCAAAACCAGCTGTTAAATTTGGCAACATTCTGTTGGTGTGTTATTTCTTAATCTCAAATTTGGATATTGACTCCTAAACTCTTGTTTGCTTTTTCTGGCGTCGTGAATCTTTTCATTTATTTTCTCTGGCTTCAATTTGCAAAGTTGGAGTTGAATTCTAGAAGCAAATAGAGAATCAAATTGTGGCATGCCAGGAAATAAACTGGATCATTGAACGAAACAGCTGACAAGTGTCTGGCCAGTTTCTAGAACTCACTTTTGTGAAATCTTGGAGCTAAAATGAGGCCTAAAGGATTTGCAAAGATTTAATTTAGATATTAATTGCGCCGTTTTTGACTCTGAAGTTTAACAAGCAATGCGTTTCTAATGCTGGTTCTGCAGTTTGGATCAAATGATTTTAGCGTTAGTTAAAATTCAGCATTTTCACCTTAATTCGAATGACTATTTAGTGCGATAGAATCAGAAGGTGCGGTTGTTTACTGTTAAATGGGAAGTTGGAACCAACTATATGTATTTGAATACAAGCTGTCATTGTGTTTTATTCAGCAAAATCAATACCAATTCAATGTAACTTCACGCCTAATGAGTAAAGAGGCAAGAGCTATGAGGAGATCAAATAGTCGTGCACAGTGAAGCGAATATAATGAGATGTTACCAGCCGTTGAAACAACAATGCGTGTAATTATACTTTAAGTTTTTTCTGGCCTACCATAAAGTTCTAATATAAAAAATTGATGAAAAATTTTAAAGACTATGAAATATAGAGACTTCTGATGTATACATCTGATTTTTGTTCAAGGCGTTAATTTTAAAATAAGTCACCCTTCATATCCGACCAACTGTTCTTGCACATTTTTTTGATAGTCATTGTCATTCGACCAAAACCACAAATATCAGTTCAAAAAACTTATTTATTAGCAAAGATAAAGCTTTTATCCAGTAACATCTTTAAGCTCTTGACTTTCATAACAAGTGAGGTTGATTTTTCAAGTGTCACTATTTTGAGGGTTCTAATGGAGTAGACCGAAAATCCAGTAAAATCTAAAATTAACATCGAAACGCAAATTATACATGACAAACATTTCGTTTGATAATTTTCTCAAAAATTTTTATCTTCCAGCATCAAGTGGTATCATATAAAGAATTTTCATGCCGATTTGACTAAATCAAATCAGTTCATCTATTTTTTTTTTTTCAAACTGAAAAACCCATCGTCGCGGTAGCTGCAAGTTGAAATGTGAGCTTTGGATACGAATTTTTCTGATGGAAATTTTTTCAAGTGTAATTACACAAGCGAAGTGTAAGCAAAACATAAATTTATATCGCAAAGTCACGTTTCTTTTCAAATTTCAGTAAACAGTACGGTAGTCGTGTTAGTTTTTGTTTTTTTTTTCAGGAAAAAGTGTAAAAGTTGTTCACGCTCAAATTGATTGTTTGGCGGTTTGACTTTTTAGTTTCCGTTCAAAATAATTTGCAAAACGAAAGGAAGTTACGTTTTCCTATAAAAAAGAGCAAATGGCGCGAAAGAAAAAAGTGAATGAGAATATTTTTTCAAATTCAATGTGGTTTTCCTGAATTTTGTTGACATTGCTCCTCTTTTTTCTCTTGGAACACTCGATGTAGGCTTAAATCCCGGCTGCATGGTTTGACCTTCAGCTTTAAGGTTTCAAGCAAAACACAAAAGATCATAACATTAAGCAAAAAATTTATTAAAATCTTTTCAAATAAATTATATACAATTACTGTTCTGACCATTTGAAAACTAGGGAGGAACTTAGTATTGGATGTGTTTCAGTTTTATTTTACCACGCAAAATCAGCTACTGCAGTAAATCATTGAAGTGAGTTGAGTGATATATCATATTAAAACTCTTATATCATATTAAAACTCTTTCAGTCATGCTTCGAAAGCCTTAAAAAAATTTCCGGTGTCGAGAAAAACTGGTTTGAAATTTTTGATTTTTCGTCTTGTTTCGTCCGAATAAAGCGAACAAATAGAGTGATAATAATTTGTTGAATTGTTCGTTTAGGAATGAAAAAAACTTGATATTTCCAAGCGAAAATGGTTTTAAAAATCATGGTGCAAAAATTTAGAACAAATTTGATTTTTTTTTTGAAATTTTCTTTCATTTGTTGTTTTTTATGTTTTTTCACAACTGTTGTCGATCATGCCTAATTTACTAAGTTTTTCGATAGTGTAAAGTTTTCATCAAACCACGCTCAAAAATTAACGCTATATTGGAGAACCTATTGATTTGGACAACTTTTTGTAGTTTTTATGAATATGTTTGATGTATCCTTGTTAGCAACTGGAATTATATGTTCGAAGCCTTCATTTTGCTGTGCTCTGCAAACTAGATATAATGATCTCGTTGTTCTCCTACGGGAAATGTACAGCTTTGTTCTCTTTTTGAAAATATTTTTCTGCTCACTTTTCAAATTAAAATCGCTGAATGAACGTAGAAACATTTTTTACGAGTCGTGTTTATATCAAGTTCTTTTAAAGAAAAAGTTGTTCAGGCTCAGTTTTTTTTGGCCTTTTATTTTTTCTTCTCAGTCTATTCAAATGGATTTGCTGAAAAGGAAGCAAACTATGTTATCATATTACAAAGTGAAAAATTCCTGATAATATGTTACAAAGCCTCTTCCTGATAATATGTTATTGTTGATCCAACCATTGAAAATGGAGATGAATTTTGTATTCGGGTGTGTTTAGTTTTTTTGTTATCAACGCAAAATCAGGTACCACATAATCATCGGAGTGGGTTGAGTAATCTATCACATTCGAGCTTTTTCAGTCGTGATTTGAACGAATATCTTTCTTGAAAAATTTAACTCAGTATTGAGAAAAACAGGTTCAATTTTTTGATTTTTTGTCTAAATTTGTGCGAATAAAGCGAGCGAGCGAGCGTTTCCGTTTTTCGTTCAGATCCTTTTATCACACCAGGCAGAAAAAAAATGACACTGATTTGAAAAAAAAAATTTTGTATTTTTTGTGAATGCAATGGTCAGAACATTCTGTGATACTGCTCAGTAAAAGGCTATCCTTGCCAACAGTTTTCCTTGATTTATTTGTTGGGATTTATGTTAAAATCTAAAAGTTGAAAGTTTGAAACTATTTTTTGCTTTTCAATGGTTATATGTAGTTATAACCGCATGCGTGCAATTTATAAGATCTTAGTTCGAACCATTTTCAAAAATCAACTTGTTCTTTATTTTGCCAGTTGTTTGCCGTTTACAGTGACCAAGTTTTTGGTGATTTTTCTGTCATTTGATCTGATTTTAAATACGCTTTCACTCTGTGTTAAATTTTGCTTCTCGAGTGGTGTGAAGCTCGATTCTCCTCTTAGTTTTAATGATATCTTTAGTCTCCATTTTAGGAACTTTTTGAAATATGTTTTGTTCTTTGTTCTGCAGTTGCTTTGTTCAATTAGGATAGAAAATAGTTTTATTTCAATGGTTCTCTTTTTCCGTTGTGAAATGCGAGAGTAAGTTAAATTTTCTAATGGATTCCCTGATGTCTGGTTCAAAAAGGAGCAAAAGTGCAGAACAAGATCGGTGAAGCAAGCTATGCGTGAAATTAACTAAACAAATGCAGTATATAATTGAATTAAATGCTTTCATTACACATTTGAGATTGTATCAATTCAATGGTCATTGGTTGTTAACTTTTAATTTTCCCCAAAAGGACCCCTCAAAGTATAGATTGGGCCCGAGTGTATTGGTATAGAGGCTGAAATAGAGGTAGATTTTAGTGGAAGGAGAAATCAATAATTCCGCTTCCTCTCTTTTCCCTGCGTGCTTGAGGGCTGGGGTAGATTAAAAGATAAACCCTTGGCAGGACGGTAGAGAATAAATGGAGGCTATAAAAAGGAGCGAGATACGCGGCTTAATTCAACTTTATTGCAAACTCATGTCACTTTGCGATCGTGCGTGACAAACACTAATGCCCAATTCGGCAGCTATTGCAAATATTTAAAAAGGATTCTGTAGTTTGAAAGTTACATTTGCAGCCAAGGTTGCTGCTAATTCTGCTCCAAACAAGTTAGATTACCAAAATGCAAGTTGAGAAAAAATCACAAATGTTATCTTGATGCTCAATTTTTGTTTTAGATACCTCCAGCTTCAGGTTTTACTGCCCACCTTCAGGTGAATAACACATTTATTAGATAATTACCTAGAATGATTGATCGTTTTTGATTGTATCGAAACCGCGGTTATCGACCTTTTTATAGAACCATTTCAGACAGCTGTCATTGTTTACATGCTCGTATGTATATAATAGTGACGCTGCATTTTGTAAAAAAAAAAGCTTATTGGTAAAATAGAAAATATCAAGTATTAAAATGAGCTTAGGTGACGGGCTTGCACATTTTAAGCCTATTAAGGCTAGAGAGTTATGTATGAACAAAGGTAAATGTAGGGTACGAAAGTGAAAGTTATCCGTATGTTTCATTTTTCTGAAGAACAAATCAAGCCTCGATAATCTTCGCTCATAAGATTAACCTGTTTAATAGGATTAACTGCTTCAAAGCGTGAATTTGAAAAGTGAACTGCTATATAATAACCTTTCAAAAACGGGTTATAGAAAGAAGAGCTGTTATTTTCGGAGTAAATGAACACTCTCCCCCTGAAGTTCAGAGGGGAGGGGGATGTTCGCTTGATAGGGTGAAAATGTTCACGTGATCTTTGTTTTTAGCGCCTCCTTACAGTGCAGTTGCAACTAACAATCCGGCAGTGATCGAGACCTCCGCAGCCGATCAGCCTCCGCCGCCGCCTTACAGCACAGCTATTGCGTCATCAGTATCCCCGCCCATATCCCCTTTGAGTGACAGGTACGCCACGTCCAGTTTAGTTTCTATATTTAAAACTATTATCCACAAGGAAAAGATCATATTTCAGCATTGTCACTAAATAAATTGAGCAAAAACAATGCAAAAGTTTGCATGCAAACGTATCTGTTTTGTCAGGGTATTTATATTTTTTCGACGTGTAAAAAGATTAAGTCTTTCACTTTTGTCTATACTTAGCAGTGTAACAACCTGAAGATGAAGCCTTTGACCAAATAGTATGGTTATTGTGCTATTTTGAATATTGTTCACCTGGGTACCCAAAGCAATGTAAGTTCTTTGTTGTAGGTACAGTCATCTTCTGGACTCCCCGACGTCTCTCCCTCCTCCGCCCCTCGTGAACAACGCATCGAGGCACTCTTCATGCTCGAACTTGAACTCTGTTTATCCGGGCAGTGGAAGACATGCGTCGTTCGGAGGAAGTTGCTCGGCTAGTCACCACGGTTATAGTCGTAGTATGAGCACAACAGCAACATTACCTCGTCATGGTACCGAGAATCATTTTTTAACAGGAATAGGACGAACAAGAAAACCCTCTCTGTCTAATCTGGGCTTTGATCCAAATAACAACCATAATGGCATGCTTGGAGGAAACAATGGTAGCGAGTATTACAGGAACCCATGCGACAGAAGTCGAAGTACTTTAAACCGGAACTCAAGAGCGGGAACTGGTTTCGGGTTATCTTGCACGTGCTACCCGCATACGTCATTGATACCTGGTTTTGGAGTTCACAACAGAAACGGAAGTGGTTGCGGTGTTAGGTTCCCAGCTCCAAAACGTCATACCAATATCTCGATGCACGGTCATTCTATGGGCCATACTCAAAAATATGGCCCTTGCGAGGACTACAATCATCATCATCATGGGAATAGCCATTTTAGATATTATAAGTATCCGTGATGGTGAGAGAGTTTGTAATAGTTAGGTGTGACGCGGCAATTTTAAATGTTAAAAGTGTTTTTGTATGGATCTCACCCGAGAAACTAAGGACTGTTTTTCTGTCTTTTTCGCCAAATTGTCCTGAATAGAAGATCACTGGAAGAACAGCGGAGAATTCACAGTGGTTTCTGTCAGGACCGAGTACTAGAACTCGTTAACTTTTCAATTTAACTCATTTTTCATGATTTCGGTGCTACCTCGATTTTCATGTTGCTTGTATGTTGATGTTACAATGTTGATTTAGTATATCTAATATCGAATTTGAGAATGTGATTTTTAGTACATTTTGGGATTATAATATCATAGATAATTACTACATAATTCAAGTGTTTCCTATTTTTTTTGTATCTGTAGGCTCCATTAGCATTATTAATACAATGGGCTTTGATTAGTAATAAGTTAACACAGTTGATGGACAGAATCAACTGGACAGAATAAAGCTATTTGTTTCATACAAATTTATAATAATTAAAATTCCATTTCAGAAACTTTTCACCTCAATATACTTTGCGAGATTTTTGAAATGCGTAATTTATACGCAATTTGGTTTAATACATTCTAAATTATTAGATGCAAAAAAAAAATTTCGGTTTCCTTGTACTATTTTCTGTTGGCAATGCTTTTAAATGGAATGAAATATCCAGTTTGTACAAATTTGTCTATGCGTTCAACTGTTTTGCGAGAGCTTTTTCTGCTAAAAATGTCAAATCAAGTCAGTCACTGCTAAGTATTGTCGGTTAAGGCATAGTACAATTTCGTATTGGGATAAAATTCGGATGCGTAAGACAGCCTTTTATTAAGGGTTAATGATTTATCATTCGTGTTTTAAAGTGTCAATGAGCGAAGTGAAGACTCTTGAGGTGTTCGTTGCTGTTTTGTTTTTTAAGAAGTCTGGAATTTGTGCAAGCTCAAATTAATTTTTGAGTTGGTTGATTTTGCTTTTTCAAGCTCAATTCAATTTCATTTGCTACGTACAATAAAATAACGCTCTCCGATAACGCCAATAGGCTTCAATTTCAAAGTTGTATTGAAACTTGCGGGAGCAATTCTCTTGTGATAGGTAGCTGAAATTTTTTCGAAAAAAAAAACATTTTTCGTTCTTAAGTAAGAACTTGAACTCGATTATTGAACCTAAAGAACTTCGGGGCTCCTTTCCGCTTGGTCTAGAGGTAACGCTTGATCTGGCTTGTAGTCTGGTCGGGTTGTTTTCAGTATTGTTGACATTTAAATTTTTTTACGGGAATAATTGAATTAACGGATTTTCGTTAGTAAGTTTACCAACTCGGACTATAATTTGTATTTTTTTTTCAATATTTCTTTTTTTTATTTTACGTTTTTTTTCCAATTCAAATGGTTTCATCTATTTTTTGGTGTAGTGATTTTTTGTGTCGTTTGAAGGGTAATAATTGATGTTTACTTGGAAGTACCAAGGTTTATTGTGGTGTAAAAATAGAATTTTCCAGGTCGGCTGTGGCTTAAAATTTGCATTAATTGCCGCTGGGTAAACACCAAAAGTTTATTTAGGTCGTTGGTTGTTTTTTAAATGCTTTTCAAATTTTGGCTTATTTTCGTCTGATTTTCTAATCACTAGCTCGCAAAGATATGTTGCGTTGTTTCACTAGTGATGCGTACATCCGCTTCGTTTTTTGTTTATAAAGTTCATAGTGAAAGAAAATCCCTTGCAAATATATGCTCAACTCATAATGAATTCCTGTTTCTCTGCGTCTCTGGCACACTTGGTCTGGAGATAATGCGCTTGGGACGGCAATAGTCCTGGGTTCGAATCTGACTGGACCTGTTCTTTTTTTCAAACCGTAAATAGTACGTTTCAGAAAAAAATTGTCGGCTAATTGCTGTCTACTTATGTTTTTTCGGCTTAGTTGCCATGTCGTAGAATTTTTTTCATTACAGTTGCTTTTAGTGTTCTGATCTACCCCTGCTGTTTGTAATTTGACTAGACTTGACTTGGTATATTTTCTTTTTTGTTTTTCTTTCGCTCATAATATTTATTCTGCCCAAAAGATTTCGGCCAATTTTTTTTATCAAATAAGTGACCTTGATTTTTGAATCGTTTCAACGGAAACATGTTTATGCTCACCTCTGGATCGAACAAAATGAAAAAAATCTTCATAGAAGTTAGACATCCAGCTTTTCATGACAAAAGTTTTTTCGACTTTTTTCCCTTTTGTTTCGGCTTGATAGGTTTCGGCATATGTGATATCAGCTTATTGGCATCATAATGCGTCTTTCGACGAGCGAAAAAAGATCGTGTGCGCGTTTCTGTGTTTTAGTTCTCCATTTTAAGTTTGACAGGTTTCGAACTAAATTATATCGGCTTAGTGGCCTTGATTTGTTTCATTTGACGAGCAAATAGAGTTCGTGTGTTTTAGGGGTGAGGGGACTTCTTAACTTTCATAGGTTTTTTAAGTTTTTTATCGGCTTAAAGGGCTTGTGAAAAGATATTTTCGGCTTTGTTATTGCTAATTTTTTATTCTTTAGCGTTGGGTTGTTTTTGTTTCAAAACTAGCCTTTTTCATTTCGATAGATCTGGTTTTCGACATTTTCGATTTTTTTTTCAATTGTTTCTTGTTCTGTATCGCTGGTGGTGCAGAGCTCAGCTTCGCCACTGTGTTTCAAACTGAACCTCAGGTTTCACAATTTTTTTTCAAGTAGAGCTAACATTAAACTCTCCAATATTAGTCGCAGAAACGGCTCAACCAATGATGCTTGACTTAAGATTTAAAATTAAATTTATGAAGGGTTTTTTTCCATCGCCGCAATTGGCATACATTAGTGCCCTACAGAACAGCTTAAATTTAGACTGTATACTGTTCATGTGTTTTATCCGCTTTACTAGTGCTAGAGTTTTGAAAAACAGAAGTATCATATGGATCAATTCCAAGACGCTAGATTCAATCTGTAGGTTCGAGGTGAGAATCCCGTAGAAGTCCGAATGCCGAATCAAAGTTTCGTAGTTTAAAAAGTCAATTTTTTTTTCTTTTTAATTCGTTAGTATAAAATTTCACTTGCTGTAAAGTTGAACTAGCATCTGAATTTTTTTGTATCTTAAATAAAACTGTTACTTTTGAAACGCATAAGAAAGACACAGAAGATCAAAAGCTATAGGTTCTGCGCCGTGTCACTAAAAAGCTGTGGACTATGGTCGTCGAATTTTCAGAAACTATTAATTGTCATTAAGAAAATCCCTGAACAAACTAAGAAAAACGAAAATGCAAGTATGACCAAGAATAGTCGGTTGTTGTGCAAGTAGCACATGATGTTCCGACCTTATTCAAAGAGAAATAACAAGTTTTTCTTTTTTAAATTTAAGTGTCGATTTTTTGTGCATGGATTGATAAGTAAACTATACTAAGACGTAAAAATACTGAACTAGGTGAACTCGATACCAGTTGTTTTCAAAACGAAAAAAAATTTTACACAATAGTTTTTAAAGATTTTTAAAAGTTTTTTATTGCAAAAGAAGAGGTTAATCATGCTTCAAAACTGCTTGAAAACTGCTATCTATATAGGTTCTCTTGAAATATTTCAAAAAAAATTTGCTTAAAGTTATGATAGTTTGTGTTTTGTTTGGGTCCTGAAAACTGAAATCTAATGCATTGTTTGCTTGTAAATATCGCAATCGTTTACATGTTTTACTACTGCGTTTTTTCGTTTCAATTGCCCGAATATCTGCACTTATTGCATGATTTGTGGAAAATTAATTCTTAGCATCTCCAAAAAGTGTTAATAAAAAATAATCCTAAAATTGGCTCAGCATTAATAAAGATTAAAAAGTCAAACATGAAACCGGCACTTAAGTCAAAGCATTTTCCTTGAAAAAAATTTAAAAACAAGCAAAGTCGAAAATATTCAGGCAAACACTATTGCATTGGAAAACATAATCAAAAGGTATGAACGTAAATTACAAAAAAAGGAACCTGACTCAAACTAGAGGAAACTATTGGAAAAAGTAATGAAACAACGAAAATAACAGACACAACCATCCCAATTTGGATCAAAAATGTTTTTTGTTCCTTTAGGAAACCTGTTAGGTAAAATCCACTTTCAAACTAGGTTTTTGTTGGCTTTAATTGGCTTTAATAAAAAGAAATTCGCAAAAATATAACTAAGCATCCATTTCTCATATCTCTAGTCAAAATATTCGTCTGAAAAGCAAAATATTCCGACCATGTTTTGTCGACACAATGTTTTGAATCTTAAAAAGCTCTAAAAACACATTTTTTGTCCTACTTTCTTCCCAATTTGCAAAATGATCGCAACAATTAAAAAAAAAACAGTTAAATTTCAGATTTTGATTATTTATTTTTTAAATTGAAAGTCTCAAAAAATATAAGGACCAAAACCGCGAAATAAAACAATGATAGAGCTATATCTTTTATTCTCATGATTTAACGCTGAGTGCATTAAGAAAAACGCTGAGCATAATTTGGAGAAGTTTTCGAATATTTATTACGTAAACTCTGTTTTTTTCTTCTTATGTTTGAAATATTAAAAGTTACGCTGCCGGGCCATCTGATTTTTTCTCTTGGAGTTTGCTCAAAAAACTTTATTATTAAGGAAAAAAAAACAATTTAGAAATCTTGATTTAAAAATATTAACAACCGTACATTTAAGTACCCTATAATTGTTAATATGGCAATAAAGGAAATCATACCTTGCCCTTTAATGAGCCATTAGGAATCTTATTTTTCAAATCTACCGGTTTTTTCTTTCTTTAGCCCATTTTGGGCGGGTTCTGCTCTACCGTTTCATTGTAGCCTGCTATTTTCTTCATTTCTATTTTTTGCCCACGTAATCCAATTGTCATGGAGGAAGAATGTGGCTGTTTTATGCACTCAAAAACATATATTGTCATCATATGAAACTTCTTAAAAACAGTTTAATTGCTAAATTGATGTTTACCTACAACAAAATGGCGGTTTACGATAGAAAAGCTTTTTTGCTGCCAAAACTTTTTAATTAAATTTTACGCGCATATGCGATCAATTTGAAATTTAAAAAAAACTATAATCAAAACTTCTGTTAATATGACTTTTTTTCCATCTTCTGATTGACTGATTTGATCTCAGGAGAAAAAAAAGTTATTATATGTGAACTACAGATTGTCAGATTTTCAGTCGTTTGGTTAGCCGTTCGATTTTCAGTCGTTTAGGAAGAACCTGTAAAAGCTCGGTTTTCGGTGCAAATTGCAAGGCTGCCAGCTTATTTTACATCCAACTATTGTACAAGATGAAGACGCATTCTGGAAGGAAATTTTAAAATAATTTTGTGTTGTCTGTGTGTTTCTGTTTCTTAATTTGAATGTTAATTACTAAGAGCACTGTGC